AAGTGGCTGTGGAGCGAGGGGGGTTCTTTCTTTCTCAGGGAGCGGGACTATTCCTAATCGCGCTAGTCCCCCGGGGAAAAACAAAAAAAAAAGAAAAAAACCAACCCAAACCAAAACAGACGTGGCTCCAACTGCTGGTTCCTAAAAAGAGCAGATAGAGCAGAGAGACCCCCGGGGTAGGGGTTGGGGGTGGAGGGGGTGGCAAGAAGGGCTGTAGAGTCTTCCCTACAACCGTAAGGGACGCCTGACAACATTGCCAACCCCGTCGGTGCGAGAGTTCGGCTAAAATAATTGTTTAAAATGAAATCGCACCGGCAAGGCAACCGTCGGAGTACTTCGAGGAAGAAGAAGAAACGGTCTCGCTTCTGAAAGAAGGAAAATGTCAACAAAAATAAATAGCCTTTGAGACACCCCGTCCCTTTTACTCCGCGGAGGGCTGCAGCTCGAAGCCCAGGCTTCCAGCGCCGAGCGCCTGTTCGCCGCTTACCACCTCAAATCTCCCCTCGGTTAAAAGCTTGTCCCTGTGTTCATTTGGGTAAATAAAGGCAGGATGGAAGGAGAGGCGTTCAGCAACTCCTCTGGGTGCCCAGGCGTCTACAAGCAGCAAAGAAATAGATCCACGTCGTCTCAAACGTTCTTTTGATCGCCTTGTTTACCGAAGCGACCCGTTGTTAAACAAACACGAAGGCAAGTCATTTAGTGAAGGTATGGATAAAAAAATAAAAAGAAAGAAAGAAAGAAAGAAAAGGGGGGGGGGGGGGGGAAGGAAAGCTCACCCCTCCCCGTCGCGCTGTAAAGCGGTGGCTGCTATGGGGGAAGGTGACACTGCATTCTCAAAAACCCTCCCTGTGCCTTACTGCCATCAGGTGTGAAGTGGGTTTGGGGGAGAGGAAAAAACCCCCCATCTTCCTTCTGGTTTTCATTTGAGGTAATTCTCGTGCTAAACGGCACTGACGTCTCTTCGAGGGTAGTTAGACATATGGGCAACAACTGGACTAAGGCTGTCAGGTAGCTCACGAGTTATTTGTCAACATGAGCCGCAGAGAATGTCTTTTATAACGCACTCGGTTTGGGAAAAATAAATAAATAAGTCGGATACACTTCTGCTAATTTATACCAGGGAAACACCTTACAAACCCCGCACAGCCCCAGCGAGGACAGCAGCTCGCAGAGAACCCGCTTTCCCGGTGCACCGGGACCCGGTTGCTTCCCCGCAGCGGCCGCCCGGGTGGGAGTCAGCAGCCGCCCCGGTTCTCCCCGCTGCCCGAGCCCGGGGGCTCAGGGGCGCCGAGCCC